TGGCGACCTCGCGCGGCGCCGCGGCGACCTCGCGCGGCGCGACGGCCGCCTCGCGCTCCGCCGCCTCGCGCGCCGCGACGGCCGCCTCGCGCTCCGCCGCCTCGCGCGCCGCGACGGCCGCCTCGCGCTCCGCCGCCGCGGCCTCGCGGCGCACGAGCGCGCGCTCCCGCGCCGTCAGGGCATCCTCGCGCGCCGCGACGTCGTCGAGGCGCCGCGCAGCGGCCTCGAGCGCCGTGCTCGCGACGTCGCGCGATGGCTTTTGCCGACTCGAGCGGAACGGGCTCACCATCGCGTGCTACTGAGAGCTTCTCACCTCGAAATTCGGCGGCACAAAAGCCGGGCTTTGCTCCGGCGACGGCGTCCGATGGCCGACGCACCCCCCGTCTAAACTACCGGGGATTGGTGTGCGGCCAGGGACGCCCGGTGGCTATACGTGACAAAAACAAGCGCTCGGATTGGGACGAATGGCTAGCCGTTTCGCTGGCTTGAGTACCAAACACGTACGCGCGGGCCGGGGACGGAGACCTCCGAGGCCGCGCTTCCGACGCACGGCAGCCCGTTCTGGTGGTCGGAGTGGCCTTCCATGACCCCTAGGCGTAAGCCTGACCGTCGGTGCCCTCATCGGAGGTGGTTCTGGCGTCGACCAAATTCCACCGCGCGGGCCTCGTCCCCGCGGGGCTGCCGCGGCGTACAAGTCCGTGGTGGCGGTGCGCGCCACCATCGATGGCGTTGGATACGCCCCTTGGTTTTGGGCGCGACGTGGGTGTGACGGCTGGGGAACGCCATTTCCCTGTAGTAAGATGTACCACCCTGCCGCGCACGCCGGGGCGCGGCCGGCGCCACTGGCGGAGCAAAGCCCGGCTTCGCTGCCACAACGAGGAGACACGATGGCCAGGACTGGGCAAGTGATGGCCGTGCCGAGCTAGGCCGCCGTCCGCGCGTCGCGTCCGGAAGCCGCTCCGGTCTCCCCGCGCGGGCGTTCGCGCGAGCCGTCGCCGGACGCGCGCATCGCCGTCGCCGTCGTCGTCCGGGCGGGCGGCGTCGCGATGGCCGGCACCGTGTCTCCGGCGGAGCCGCGCGGCGGGCTGAAGCGCGCCTGGTCCCTCGGCTCCGACGACGACGACGCCGCCGAGGAGCTCCAGCGGCGCGAGCGGCGCGCGCGGCTCGCGGCGGCCAAGGCGCGGCGCGCGCTCGACGACGCGCGCGCGGCCGCGGCGCCGCGGGCCGCCGCGGCGCCGGCGCCGGCCGCGGCCGCCGCGCGCGCG